GGCCTATCTGATCACAATACTATTTCTGTCTCACGTCTGGTGAGAAAACTGGGTACCACCTCTGACAAGTTCATTCTTAAACGCGATCTACAACCCAGCCGAAAAGCAGAGATGGGAAGATATGTATGCTCATTGGATTGGCCTTTGTTACTCAACCTGCATTGATACAGGTTTTTTCCTAAAACTGAAGCAGCAATCCTGCATAAATATGTTTAGATTATTGTTATTATTATTATAACTCCCTTGAAACCTGCGACGAGTTTCTGTGTGTGCGGGCAAGTTATACACACAGGCCTTGACCTTCTAATGCCAGTTACAAAAGTCCGTATGAACACACGCGATGCTCCTTGGATGACGCAAAACTTGACAGATCTAATTCGGAAAAGGCAACAGGCTTTCCTCAATAAAGGCGCGGACTCAGTTCAATACAAATCAGAAATCAGGTTAACCGAGAAAGAAAGCTTTGCAGAGCAAAGTTTTAAGAATCACGAGTAGCGCATATAAAGAAGGAAGACCCTAAAGCCTGGTGGAGAGTGATGAAACGATTATGCGGCGGGAAGGCTGCTCAGGTGATCTCCTTAATCACATGAAAGTAAAAGAAGTCGAGAATGTATCTACATAAGAATTGGCGAACTCTATAAATAAAGCATTCCTTGAGCCTCTTGAAGAGTATCGTCTGTCTTGCCCCATCACTCACCTTGCCCTGGAAAAAGACTCCCCCGAGTTTCTGGAAGTATCGGAGAAACGTGTATGGAAAGTCCTATCAAATCCCAATCCCTCTAAGTCGATTAGCCCAGACAGGATTCCAAATTGGCTTCTGCGAGAATACGCTGACCTTATTGCCATTCCGGTATGCAGAATTCTTGATGCATCGTTTAGGGGGTAACGCCTACCTCGATCATGGAAATTTGCTGACGTAATACCGCTTCCAAATAAAAAACCTGTGGAGATCTTAAAGAAAGACCTTAGGCCCATCTCACTCACGCCATGTCTCTTGTTGTCGAAAATGCACGTTTATGGAGATATGTAGATGATACCACTATCTCCGAAACAGTTGCGAAAGGGGAACTTAGCAACGCCCAACGTACTACAGAGAGAGTAGTACAATGGTCACTAGAAAACAGAGTCCAGCTGAACACTGATAAGTGCAAAGAAATGCGAATATCCTTTTCAAAATCCCAGCAAGAATTTGAGCCCATTCTCATTAACAGAGATGCTTTAGAAGTTGTAGACAGTGTAAAATTATTGGGTCTCAATATTTCCAGTGATTTGACCTGGAATATCAATATTAATAAAATTTGTTAAGAAGGCCTCCAAGGGATTAATTTTTTGGTACAACTTAAGAGAGCTAAGGTTACTCGCACTGATTTAAGGCTCTTCTACTCTAGTTGTATTAGATCAATTATGGACTATAAGGATTAAGGATTTGTGATCGTTGTGCTCACTTTCTAGTAAACTGCTCTGAAAAAAAATAGTTATGGCAACAAACAAAAGCGGATTCAGAATTCAACCTATTTGCTTGTAAGTGAAGAACGACGGGAAAGAGAACGAAGAGAAAGGCAGAGAACAAGAATAAACAGGCGAGCTGGCGAAGAGGATTCAAGTGGAAAACATATGCAGCATCTGAGACTTGTTTACTGACAGCTGAAGCTGACAGAGTTTTGTGTCATCTTGTAATGTTTTTACCTGTCTTTTTGCACTGGATCAACAAAATGAAATACAGATGTTATCAATATTCTTTTTTTATTCTTGGCTGGCTTGTTTATTGGGTTGTGGTTGAGAAATATGCTGCTCGACAAAAAGAAATCGGAAATCATCGTTTTCAAAAATAAGCTCATCTTAGTACTTCGGATTGCTGGACTATGCGAAAAGTCTCAGTTAAGCGATCCTGGCCTTACTTGATGGGTTTCCGAACTGCATCTAAATACACGTCTTCGTGAATAAAAATTGTTGTCCTTTTAAATGTTTCTTTGAATTATATTTCTTGTGTTGATTTTTGTCAAGACCTCTTTCTTATCGCCTTGCTAGTTGTTGTTTTGAGTTGCTGGAGTACTTAAAATGTGTGTATAAATGAATATGGTGTTTTACAAGTGAAATGCAAACGTAAATGATTCATTCGAATACTCGACAGCTCGCATGGTAAGTTTTGGCGCTTAGCAAAATTCAGAATTGGCTGGTCGGACGGGTGATTTTGTAAATTGAATTAAAATATATTTTTTCGAACGTTTTTGCTTAAAGCCCATTATTACCCTGCATACCACATAATGGCAGATTGACCGGACTGAACATTTCCGTCTAATGGTGAATTCTCTATACAAAAACGTCTTATGATGTTATTTCTATAATTTATAATGTTATTTTTATGAATATTGAATGAGTGCATAGTCTTGTAAGAATTACTGTGTAATTAGAATAGGGTAGAAAATGACATAAATTCTGTCCGAGGTCTGAAAACAAACAATGCCTGGTAGTTCTGTTTACCTCATAGATGGTGTAAAAAGACTAGGGACCACTCATTATTTATGCCAGGGGGTGGGCTGACAAGAATAAGGGGTGGGCCACGTCAAATTCAGGACAGTCTGAGGAAGGGGGGGGGGGTCATCAACAAATTTGCACACAAAGAGGGGGGGCTACCTGATTTGTTATTTTAGTTTTGTTTTCAAACAAATACTTTCAGTGCTCTCGGGACCAACGGTAAATGGTTTGCAAGCCTCCTAAAGGCTAACAGTTAATAACTGGAAGTTTAAAACTAATAAAGAAAACAGTCACAATTTCTACGAAATGATATGTCCCAATAATACGTCCAGAGGTCTTCCTCGTTAGTTTTGATCCCTGAGGAGTTCCCACTACTGCAATGATCAACAACAAGGTCAAGCTCTCAGTCACTTATTTCGACTGAGAATTACTAGAAGACAATACTTCTTGCTCTTGCCTAGAGATGTTTGCGACGATTTCTAAACTTGTTTGAAAGAAACATGAGCGATAATTGGTTGGGTTTTATCGTTCTTTTTATCTTGCCTTTTAGTGAAAGTTTAAAGTGAAATAAATCCTTTTTTTAACTTTATCTGCTGGATTTCACCAGCGTGAAATAGAGTGTCCCAGTTAATCTACCCGGCTGTCTGACTTACATTCTGTAGAGGGTTGCCACTCGCTGGAAATGAGCTTCCCAGAAATCTGTATATATTTTTTATGTTCTACAAGGCTGGTTCGTTTTTTATCAACGCTTTATCTTTGACCAAAACTCTTTACTCTGGAATGAAAAACAAACACTCACTTGGTATTTGATACAAAAAAAATTTGAAAAGAACAGGCGTGTCATCGATCCTTGCGGCTACTGTCATTGACCACTTTTCATGCACTTCTCGCATTCGCTCCTCTTCCATTTCTGCATATTCCTGAAGACTCAAGGATAATACGTCGTTTTCTGAATCTAAAAAACCGTTTGTGATATATTCCTTGTCTATTTATCGTAGTTATAGTTCCAGCACAGGAGAGGGAGTAGAGTATATCACTGAGGATGAAAAGGATCCGTTCGATATAGTGATGCACACTAGTTCAAACACTCAATAATCTTAGCTTGCGTTTTGTATTTTTGTTCTTACAGACATTTTTCGGGGGAGGGGGGGTGCGGGGGTGGGAAGGGGAGGCTAGCCAGTTTTTAAAAGGGCATTTAGAGGGTTCATGCCTTTTTCAGTTTGGCCTTTCCTTTAAACAGAGAGATAAAAATAAAGTTGGCTGTCACCGGGGACTATCGTGTCTTTACGGCCTTTATAGCATAAAATTATAAAATAAAGGTGGTGTAGGTGGGCACAAAAGTGATTTTGCTTGGAAAGAATTTGTTTTCCACGCCTAACCTTCTGTGGCCAAAGGTGATTTCTATTTATTAGGTGTTCAAATAAGACTATTAACTCAATGTAAGATTATAGATATTGCTTCATTCTTGCACGTTTAATTTCATTTTTTTTCTCTAAGTCAGCCAGCCTCACCCTTAAACGTCATATGGATCTCCCCAGTTAACCGATTTGTGGATTACCAGTTCATTGTTTAAATCATAAATTTATTACACAAGAGCCACTCTTTTAGCCCTGGCTCAATCTATATATTACCTATGACACTGCATTAATTTGAAAAGATTATTTTCCTCAATATAACAGACTAAAAAAAGGAAAGAAGAGTTAATTATTTAATTCATTCAACAAAAGGGAAGTTTACTGATTCTTCTTACACCCCCCCCCCCGCCCCCGCCCTTCTGAACAACTCCTGAACATTACATTTTACTTAAACAGGAGGATGAGGGTTTTATTTGTACTATCGCTGATGCTGTGTTACAATGCGGCTGAATTTGCTGATCCAAGTGAGTATATTGTATTTTTATCACTCAGTATATATAGTACGCCCTCAGTATTTTTCAGCTCCTGTCCGTTAGACAATTTTCTTTATCCGCCTTCCTTGTTCAAAAACTCACCCCCAAATCATATNAAAAAAGGAAAGAAGAGTTAATTATTTAATTCATTCAACAAAAGGGAAGTTTACTGATTCTTCTTACCCCCCCCCCCCCGCCCCCGCCCTTCTGAACAACTCCTGAACATTACATTTTACTTAAACAGGAGGATGAGGGTTTTATTTGTACTATCGCTGATGCTGTGTTACAATGCGGCTGAATTTGCTGATCCAAGTGAGTATATTGTATTTTTATCACTCAGTATATATAGTACGCCCTCAGTATTTTTCAGCTCCTGTCCGTTAGACAATTTTCTTTATCCGCCTTCCTTGTTCAAAAACTCACCCCCAAATCATATTTGTTTTTCTGAATATCCTTAGTTGGGGACATTGCACTTTTAAACTAGTGGGGGAAAATGGTGGGATTTAGGAAATTTGTTTAGTTTATTGCGTCACCTAACAAAAAAGCAAAGAACGTAGAAAAAAGAATATTGACTATTAAGTTCTCTATTGATTAAGAAATCTTCATTTGATGTGTAAAATTACAATGTGATTTTGTAGGGTGTGGTTCTGTGATAAACAATACCTTGACAAGTCCTGGATTTCCAAGACAATACCCAAATAACATGCACTGTGTGTACAACGTTTCCATTCCATCCGGAAAGGCACTGAAATTCAACTTTACAACTTTTAGCCTGGAGTTAGAATCTAAGTGCCGGTAAGTAAAGTTAACGTGACTGATGTCCAACAATTGAAAAGCACTTAACTGTCGCGGCTTTGGTAAGACTAGACTAGGGACTTAACTTAAGGCGGTGCTTATCACTTAAACTACGTAAAATTATTGCTGGTCAAAACATACAGATTATGTTCGGCTAATACGCTGCAAGTTCCTCGATTTGTGATATTAGGCCTAGCAATAAGGCAAAACCAGGCTTCCAAAAACGCTGGGCGGCAAGGTAAATATATCCCTGGGAAAAACGCCGGCCAATGAGAATAGGCTTCTTATTTCATAATGAAGATAGACCTGGCTTTAGAAGCGGATTAGTATCTATCAAACGCTTTGCAGTATCAGGAAGAATATCTGAAACACGTTTATTTTCGCAAATATTTACTTATTATAATAAGAGAGAGTATCTACAAATAAGCGGTCTTGTCGATATGGCGTGAAAAATAGTTTTCGCTCATTTTATTCTATTTTATTTTATTTTTATTTTATTTATTTTCTCCATTTATGTCATATTACAGGCCATTTATAATAAATTACAGATTTGAGATATCAGATTACAAGAATAAATGGAGAAGGGCAAGATGTAGTGAAACTAATTACATGCCCTTTGATTAAATTATAGTTTTATTTTAAGAGAAGTACAATTAATTTTGAGACAATTTTGGTTCACCCATCCAACGCTCGCGTTGGCTCAAATCAAGGCTGAAAGTTTACAAAACTTTGATTAATGTTGAAATAACACAAAAAGCCATCATATTTCCTTTGACATAAACAGAGCGTTTTCTGCCAACATTCATCAAAATTTAACCCCGTAGCAAGATTTTAACGATCCCCTTTCCGCACTGATAGATCAACACGGTGGAGCCAAAAACACCTTCCAAATTGGATCCCAAATGTGCCATTTGCTCTCGGATAAAAAATTGAAGTAGAGCAATATAGAAACCGTGATATTTTGTGAAAGAATACTTCCGAAAAAATTAACTTCTACGATTTCTTTGATTCTTTCTTGTCCTAAAATATTGCCTTAGCGGTGCATTCATTAGTCATTGACCACTCTGACAGCTTTTACTTCATCAGTATGGCATTTCTGTTGTTCCAGCGCAGACGGCTCTCTCTCGAAATGTTCCTATAGTTCTAGCGGCAGTGAGTGATGGGCGGCTGCTGTATCGCAGCCTAAATAAAATTCAAACTATTATTTACAAATTCAAACTATTATTTACAAAATCGAATGGTCATTGCTGGTGTTATACTCGTAGATACGGTCAAAAGGTGTAGAAACATCTCATTGGCTAAACAGATCAGTCCGATGATATGGTTTTCGATCTGGAAAATGCCATAGCGTTTATGAAATCCAAATTATGATTTCACGCCTCAGGGCTTTTATGTGAGCTGAGATGAGTAAAATCCCTTTTACAGACCTTTGTCATCTGTAAGTAGGTCGAAAGCAAGAGAACATAAAAGCCTCTTGTTGAACGTTAATTGGCATTTGCAGACGGTGGCAATTCGACTGCTCGGGAGTGACTCAAGAGCAACATAAAATAAAAGAATTTGATCGGCAGCTTGATATTTCACAGAAACGTTTGGAGCTTCCTTAACTCCACCATAAAGCACGACTCGCAATTAGTTGAGGCAGGAGAACATAAAAGGCTTGTTCTCTTATGTATGTATGTTCTCTTGGCGGTTAGGGTTATTTCTAAGAATTTAACTGCCCTTGAAAAGTGAAAAAACATATTTTTTCCCTTGTAGGTGGGATTATTTGAGGATTGTAGATGATAACAACAGAACACTTGGTACATATTGTGGGAGCGAACTTAGTGGGAAGGTAGTTTTGGTAAATGGAAACTACGCATCAATAACTTTCCACTCTGATGGTTCTGTACAGTTCCCGGGATTCCAGCTGACCATATCATTTATTGAAAATCAAAATGGTATGTTCAGATAAAAAGGCAGTCTTTCATACAAAGTAGATAAAATAAAATAAAGTATTTTTTAAGTAAGTTACCTTTCAGGTTAGATGTCAAAATTGATGCACCTCAAATTCACCTCTTATAGAGGTTAAGGTGAGGTGCGCATTTTTTTGAAGGTGGCTCGACTTTGCATCATTTTATCGACAAGCTTTGCTTTTATTGCCGAAAGAAGTTGAAAAAACATGCATTTTCACTGGAAAACGCCTTGACCACCTACTACTTGTGACGTCATATCTCGTAACCATAGTAACTTGCCATCATTAGACTTGTCTTAAAATGCGCGCGAGGGATAAACGAACAGCTACTGAAAACGTCACGACTTTACACCCCCCCCCCCGTACGTCTCAGGGTTTAAAGGTTGTTCGCTGTAGAATCGACCAGTTGATTGGCTATAAAATTTCGATTCCTTTTAAAATGCTAACGAGGCTTTGCCTTACTGTCAAGCATGCCGAACAAGATGCCTGTCGCAGTTTGTAATAATCATTGCACTTTGTAATACCTGTCACAATTTGCAAACTGTGTCGCACTTTGTTAAAAAAAAANATTTTTTTGAAGGTGGCTCGACTTTGCATCATTTTATCGACAAGCTTTGCTTTTATTGCCGAAAGAAGTTGAAAAAACATGCATTTTCACTGGAAAACGCCTTGACCACCTACTACTTGTGACGTCATATCTCGTAACCATAGTAACTTGCCATCATTAGACTTGTCTTAAAATGCGCGCGAGGGATAAACGAACAGCTACTGAAAACGTCACGACTTTACACCCCCCCCCCGTACGTCTCAGGGTTTAAAGGTTGTTCGCTGTAGAATCGACCAGTTGATTGGCTATAAAATTTCGATTCCTTTTAAAATGCTAACGAGGCTTTGCCTTACTGTCAAGCATGCCGAACAAGATGCCTGTCGCAGTTTGTAATAATCATTGCACTTTGTAATACCTGTCACAATTTGCAAACTGTGTCGCACTTTGTTAAAAAAAAAGGCTGTCTATCGCACTTTGTGGTAAACTTAGCTGTGGTCGCAATTTGAGGGAATTCCATCGTACTTTGTAAGAACTTTAGTCATTTACAATTAAGAGATTCGCTGTTACGACTTTGATCTTCGTCAAGACGTGAAACTTAATGTTACCTGCCGGCTGTTTGTATCCAGTTGCTGTTTTCATAGTCGGAATATACGCAGTTGTAAATTATCATTTCTGCGTTGTTAGTTGCAGCTGTTTTTCGAGAGACCATGACAGGCTTAAATAGATTATCTATTAAAAGAGCGGTATGAAGGTTTTAGCACGTCTTGAAAAGATAAGGAACACAACTTAGACAACTCAACAGCTAGCAGCGTTCATTAAATATGTCATTTCAAATGCTAAGAAACCATTAGGAAGTGAGGATGGCTAACTATGAGTAGCAATGGTAATGCATGCAATATGGATTTGTTATACACGTAACAGCGTGATAGTTTTTTAAATAGTCAAGGTTTTAATGCTCGGACATACAAGCGGGTGGGGGGTTGTTAGATGCCACACCCGCTGAGGTCTTTCTGTGTTTTTTTCCCTAGACGATTAATCATAACCACCTGACGTTTTCAGTAGCTGTTTGTTTTTCCCTCACGCCCATTTTGAGACAAGTCTAGGGATGATCAGTTTTTTATGGTTACGAGATAAGACGACATAAGTAGCAGGTGGTCAAGCCTTTGTTGAGTGAAAATGCATGTTTTTCCAACTTCTTTTAAAGATAACAATAACTTGTAAATAAAATGAAGAGAAGTACTTATGTGTTATTCTACATGTTAAGAACAAAATTTACCAATTCTCGCCGTTTTTACCTGATTTCTAATTCTTGGTAAAATCCAAGATGGCGGCCAAGATTGCGATCATGTCTGGTGACGTCACAGGCCTCCAATAGCCCCACTACCCATAAATTATACTTCATCTTGTCGAGAAGACCAAAGGCTTTCCACTGAAGGTAAAACCTTTTCGAAATACTGCAACATATCCAAAACAATAGTGAGGAGTTCCATCAACTACCCTTGTACCATGGTGAGGGTATGATTTTGAGTGTCCGTCCGAGGATTAAAATATTTGAAAGATGTCGTCGCAGTACAAAGAAAAAGGTCAAGAAAAAGGTTTTGTATCATAAAGGAATAATTTTTCTAATTTCTTTTTTTGGGGGTACCATGAAATTTAAGGGACTTCTTCTATATTGATAGTCCATCTGGATCCGCCTGGTAGAAACATTGATAATATTTATCACGTCGTTCAAATTCTTATAGAGCAATCTTTGGTAACCGAAAAAACGCTTTCTCTATTCTTGGTTTACAACCACGTGACAAGAACGCCATATTACAAATACTATCGATACTACTGAGATTTTACTTTCATGACGTATTAGAGCAGCTAAAAACTAATGTTCATACAAATTTTCGCTTTAAAAGGTTTCTTGGTTTTGTGTTGGAGTACGCGTGAATTTCTAAGCTTTTGCTTTTACATGACGGCCGAGAGAGCTGTAATGTAGGTTAAAAAAGTGACTTATTTCGGAGAATTTTACTATTTAAACAGTTTATGCAATGTTAGTAAAAGTATTATTTTAATGTTAATGAGTTCCTCGAGGGATAAATTCACGCTTTTGTAGCAAAACTCGGTAAGAGATGTTTCCGTTGGTTTCTCGTCCGCCATGTTGGTGCCCATCCAGGTGGGCACCAGCATGGCGTCTCCATACAAATTCCTATAAATTTAGGTAAAACATTTTTTCGGATATCTCGAATGCGAAATATTCCTTTGACCTGAATCTTGGCGAGCTCCTTTGTATGTATACCTCCTTTCATTTCCCAGATTCTGGACTTTATCTATCGAACGGATTTGCTTTTTTATTTGATTTATTTTGAATGGCGTTACACTGAAAACCAGCGATAGAGATTTTTCTTGAAGACAGTTACATGAAAATAGAGTTAAGACCCTGTTTACATGGAGTGGGGGACCCCGGTCTAGTGGGGTAGGTTTCTTTTGTTTTGTGTCCTCCAGAGCGTGAAAACAAAAGAAACCAACCCCACTAGACCGGGGTCCCCCACTCCATGTAAACAGGCCCTAAGTTCCCAGAGGAGAGAAATACTTTTGTTCTTGTCATCCACCATGGCCGTCGTGTCATCAGGTGTAAACCAGCAATGTATGTAGGCGGAGGTTGACTATTAAAAGGTTAGAACAACCAAAGAAATTTAGTCTTCGTGGCAGGCGCAAAAAGGAGAGGCAAAAGTGGGGGAGACAGAGAAAAGCGAGAAGGGGAAAAGGGAAGAGAGTGTCTGCAAAAGGCACCGGTGTTTTTGTATTCTGCCCACCAATTCCCTTAACTAATCCAATAACGTCAACTGTCAATACGTGACCAAATACAAGTAGGAGAGCTTCTCAGCATGGTCCAAACTTACTGACTTTTTTTTACACCGGAAATTGTCAAGTCGAGACGCTTTTTTCAAATTCAATTCAAATTATACCATAATCGAGCAAAGTAAAACATTTTAATGTTATTGCTCAGCAAACACAACAAACAATGATCATTTTCTTATGAATGAACAAAACCTTTGGTCTTTTATCAAACTTAACGATTGCAAATTAAAGAACAGAACAGTCGCCAACCTGATACGAGAATAATTTAATATATAGATTTAGCCAAAGCTAAAAGCGAAGCTCTCGATAATATTTATAGTTGGTTCAAACAAAACAAAAAATCGCGTAATGCTAAGCGGCAAAGGCAACGCCGGAGAACGGTGAAAAACAACAATAGGTCTAATTAGCAAAAAAGCAACTTTGCAAGTGCAGCACACTTTTTTTGTACATTTCTTTACCGTTGTTTTGCACGACTACAACGTGAAACTTCCAGAAACTTCTTAGTTACACGTTTTATGGAGGAAATGCGTACTTTTTCTCGTTCACTCTTTTATCACTGCCGCTCATTTTCACTTTGCATTGGTGGCCGCTAGCATTTCTTCTTTCGTCACCGCCGTTACAAAATTTTCATGTTGTTCTTCCAACCAAAAAATGTCTCCTTTGTTTTTTATCTCTCGCTCTAGATCTCTGTCGCCCTTTTTCTCGTTGAGCTTCGCTGGCCTGCCGCCTACTTTCTCTTTTTCTCTGTGTTTCTCTTGCTCTATATTCCAAAGTTGTGGACATGACAATTAATCTAAGCTAAATACTTTAGAGACAATTTCCGCTTTCCGTTTTCGTCTTCATTGACTCTTTAGTTGTCTCTGCTTTCAAAGACGCGGGTGGCTATGCGATTCCTGTCAAAATAACCTCGAGTTCCATTTAGGTTGCCATACCTATTGATTGAGTTATTTTACATTGGTATGCCTTTGGTGCTGACGGAAGGTCTGGCAGTCGGTCGGTGTACGGTCACGTGATTACCAAATTTTCTCGGATAGGTAGTTTACCACATTTTCTTAGCCATGGTGCTCCAAGGGTTCAGCCCTCTCTCTACAAACAATTTAGGGTATTTAGAAGTTCATTCAAGTCGGCATATGATTTTGTGGAAAAATTGCGTGTCCAGCTGTTAAAATTCTTCGAATAATAATCCGGTGTTCTTGAAAATATCGGCATTGCAGATGCTTCTCAAAATTAAAAATCGACACAAAAATGATCGCCACTCGGTGTTTGGACAAGTCTAGTATACAAAACCTCCTGAGCATCTCTGCCTGCTGACAAGCGATTACAGTCGGTTTAAGTTCGGAGTTTAAATGTGAAGTTGCCACAAGATAACGTAATTTTGATCTTCCGAAGCTTACGCCAATAGCACACGTTTCCTTTGACACCTGTACCATGGTTATTTCTCGCTAATATACGTCAAAAAGTTACTCATTACGGCTCAACCAATCAGGAATTTGCGGCGTCCGCAGAAATGAATAAAAGAGGATTCTTATACCCCTTTCGACGCCTACTAAAGAATTTGCATCTT